GCAGGGTGCACCAGTAGATAGACACGACCAGGCTGTGATTGTTGTTTGTAAATTTCAACTCTTCTGGTTGGATCAACTGTAAGGAAACGAGTTGATCCTGTTATATTTATGAAACCATTCAGCTTATATGTATACCCTCTTGTTACATCAAGTGTAAACAAAGCAAGCAATTGTATCAACTTTGCAGTGTAAAGTATTGTAGACTTAGCAGTTTGTTAAAATTCATATGTACATAGCCTTGATATTCATTGTACTTTTCATTTTGCTCAGCATTTATAATTCTTGGATATTTTTTAATCAATTAAAAATATTGCCTGCTTCAGAAAATATTATACAACTTCTACTATTTGAATTGGTTAAACATATTCTCTGCTCTAGAAAATGTGTACAGCTTTTATTAGCTGGTTTAAAATGGTTACAAAATGGCCTGTTTACAACACAATCTATATTCTCCATTAGAGATAAATTCCTCAAGAGAAAGCCTTATATAAATCTTTGCTGCAGTAGTCAACCTCTACTGATATTTTAAAAACTCGTTAAGGACCTTCCAATCTGTATCAGCTAGACCATTGGTGTAACTTGTCGTTAAGGACCTTCCAATCTGTATCAGCTTGACCATTGGTGTAACTTGTTGGACAATGTGACATTGTCACTGCATGAATTAAACTATCAAATAACAGTTTTATTATTAAATTTCTGCTCATTGTTTTTTTTTTATACTACATACAGCTTAGGTTTCAACAAACTGACAAAATGTTGGTATGTTAGATTGAAAAATGGTTTAATTAATAAATTCAATGTTATTCTATAATTAGCAATCAGATTACTAGAACAGATGGTATCAATTAGGCCTACTTTATAATCAATTTTAAATTATGTTTTTAAAGAAATTACATGCCTTATGAAAATTAACTTTTTTGTTTTCTTAGCCTTGGCATGTAACTAGTCCATTCTTTTTATAATTTAGATGAACATGTAAGCCAGTTATAACAAAGAAAGAAAAATGAGCATATACTATGTGTTGAAGAAATGAATTTATTTAAGTTTGCATAATTATAAAGTGCTGAAGGCAGGTTTTGTTCTTCAATGTACAGTTTCTCTTATAATTAAATCATTTTTATTCAACAAAAGCATGCATTCAAATTTGTCTGCGTTTATTAAAACCTAGGAAAATGTTTTAGGTTTACCAACCTTGCTTAATAATAGGAAATAGTTTTACTATCAGCATCAAAGAAAACGTATTAGTTAAAAATTTAAATGTAAAACTGGAGTTAGAATATAGGATAACACAAGGTACATTTCACAAAGGTGAAACATATTAGCTTGTCAAATGCAAAAAGAATTTATTTCACAACTCTGCTCAAAAGCTGATGGCTAATAACTATTTGACATACACCTTTCCTTCAAGCCTGACTTTAGTAATAAACTGTTACTTTATATGCTTGACTTACAATTTTCTAACAACATGGAACATAATTGTATAACATATGGCCTAACAAGTGAAATATAAAGATATGTTGAAATTAAAATAAGAAGCGATAAAAAGAACACCTAGGATGCTAAATATAATAAATCTTGATTGGACTACACATTAAGCGTGATCATAATGTAAATTTATTTATTGATTTCAGCACAACCAATCTTCATACACATAAAGGCCTACAATGAGCCTACATACACTTGCAATATACATTTTATATTCCATTAACTTAGACAAGTAAATTAAAGGGCACCTTTGTTACCACAATATCATATCCATTTATGTTGCTATGGAAACAAACATCACTTAAAATTGAATCCAGCCTAAATTAACTAATTCTTCATCTATTACCTTGATGTAAGTATTGTAAGTAAACTAGGCCAATATCAATAGACATAATTATGCAGTGCTTTTTTAAAGACAATTTTCTTTTTTAAAGATTAAAATAACTGGAATGTTTTGGATGCAACCATTATCTGCCATACTTTCTTTTTTTAAAAGGTTTTTGACTTAGAGAAAATGTAAAATCAATTTTTTAAATGGAAAAAAAAACCATAGTTTTAAAAAGTTGGTTCTTTTTTCTGGCAAATTAAAAAAGTAAGATTTTTTTTCTTTTAGTGAAGTGTTAAAAAATATGAGCAGTTTCATACAAAGTTCTCACAAACACAACTCTAACGCCATACAAAGTTCTCACAAACACAACTCTAACGCCATACAAAGTTCTCACAAACACAACTCTAACGCCATCATGAAATACAGAGATATCCCAGTGCAATGTTGTGTGAGATAAAATAACAAATCTTGAGAAATAAGAAAGATATCAATAATGCTGCAATATTGATTAACTTGTGTATATTACATCATGTTTTTATATCAGAAAGTGAAAGAAAGAAAAACATTTTAAAAAATAGATTCCCTGAAAGACAGTGAGAGTAAAAAAATATTCAGGTGCATCATGAAGTTCTTTTATCTTGAAGATAAAAAATAATAAAAGCAATGATAAATGTGTGCAGATCGAAACAATAATAGCTATCTGTTGGTAGGGCAGCAGTTAACGACAGCATTGTCAGACAGCAGAATGAAAGCTTTATGATGTCAGATGGAGGGAAGTTAGCTTTATGACGTTTGACAGAGTGTTACAGCATTATGATACCTGACAGCAATATGTCAGCTTAATGACTAGCCAGCTATGTTTCATGATGACAGAAAACTAAATCTCTTTTGATATGTCAGATTTACCTTGACACTGTAGAATGTCATTCAGCAGGAATGTTGTCATTTAGCAAAGTTTCAAATAGGAATGTCAGGTATATGCCATATAGGAATGCAAACTAGATCTGACACAGGTGTGATTCAACATGTTCATTTAGGAACTGTCAGTCAGACTAAGGTATGACACAAAGGTAAAACTGCTAAATGGAATCATTTGATTTCTGGGAATGAAATAAGACAATGTTGATTAGCTATGTACAGTTAAAACGATGAAAAGAATTAATGATGGCTAATTACAGCACCAGTTAGAGAGTAATGTCACAACCACAAAGCCTTATTTAAAAGAAAAAAAAGTTTTCATTGCTAGTATATACAATCTTGTTGAACACTTTCATCGTTAAAATATTAGTTATAAACCTGCGGCCAAATTAATTTTCCAGCTCCTAACTTTATGTTATAGTAATACTTTAATTGCATTTTAAACTAAGTAAACACTTTAAAAACACCATCTACTTTTTTCACAAACTGTTATTAAATCCATTTTGAACAGCAGTTTGTATTAGATTAAAAAGAAATAGCCTACTTATAACTTGATTGCAGAAAACTGCTATGTGTCTTTGATACTTCTCTTGTATCTATAGGCTTTCAATTTTTCTTTAATAGCGGATGCGATATTTTTTTTAACATTATTCCTAGTATCATCTGTCAGATGGGTTACGGCTTGACCATTGTTGGAAGTTAACTGGGCATAAGAAGGCAGAAAAGTGGCAGATTTTTTTTTCTTGCTGGTCGGGATTTCTTCCAGCCAATCGCACGTGGAGTTGGCGTCACGCTCGTCTTCACTGCTGGATGGTGACTCCTCCAGTGACGCGTATGACGCATGGATGAGTGTGACGTCTCCAGTGGTTGAGCTCTCACTTTTCTTGTACAATCTCTCAGGCTGCAGGTGCAACGATGAAGTCTGGGAGACCTCAGGGTTACCAAGGCCAAGGTTAGAAGGTCGGGTTGCCCTGGAGTTATGGCTAGCAAGGTCACAAACCAGACATTGTTGAAGGCCATTCATGAGACCTGTTGATAAAGCCACACCATTTGCAGGTTTAGGGGGGAGTCTGTTCCTAGGGGAGTCACTAGATGAAAGTGTAGGGAGCTGTCGTGTTGTAGGTGAGTCACTAGGATGGCTGAGATGAGAGTGACATGAACAGAAGGAACTACTTCTACAAAAACTTCTTGGGCTTTGGTTCTGGTTGGTAGAATTTGTTGGGAGTTGTTGCCCTTGTAGGAACACATCTGGAGCTAAGAATGAAGATGAAGAAATATGAGGGGGTGGCTGAAGCAAACTTGGGGGTGGCAGTGTTTGACCAGCGGAGCATGAAACAGTGCTAACGCTCTGAGACTCATTGAAGAAAGGAGGAAGACACAGTTGATTCGCTTGTGCTGAAAGCCCATTAGTACAGTGATGTGGGGTGGTGTGGTGGTTGCCATCGGTAACCAAAGCTGAAGCTGATAAAATCAGTCCATTTTCAGCCACATTGTTATCCTGATGCTGGCTATGAAAACTGTTATGATTTATGAGACGCCTATCTTTAGAAGTTCTGGTCTCGTAGTTATCTATAGAGGCACTAGCTTGTGAACTGTTGATGGTGTCACTGTTTCGACAAGAGAGATCTTGCCTCTCAGTCAAGTTGCTGTTACAAGCGGAAGAGTGGAAGTTGGTACCGAAACATTGAAGCTTGTGGGCGTCGGCCGAGTCAGCTGACATGATGTAGACCCCGCCGTGCAGGTGGTTGGTTGAGAGGGGCGGGCTGGTGATGCGGTGCATGCTGACAGTGTGGGGGAGGGGATCTGTGTGGTGCTCTGATACAACAATGTCTGGTCTAGAGGCTGACAGGAGGATGAACTCTGTCATGAAGTGGTAGATGTACCGGTACTCCTCCTGCAACATAGGGGCATGGTTTAACTCATGTAAGAACATGGTTTAACTTATGTGAGGACATGGTTTAACTTATGTAAGGACACGGTTTAACTTATGTAAGGACATGGTTTAACTTATGTAAGGACATGGTTTAACTTATGTAAGGACATGGTTTAACTTATGTAAGGACATGGTTTAACTTATGTAAGGACATGGTCTAACTTATGTAAGGACATGGTCTAACTTATGTAAGGACATGGTTTAACTTATGTAAGGACATGGTTTAACTTATGTAAGGACATGGTTTAACTTATGTAAGGACATGGTTTAACTTATGTAAGGACATGGTTTAACTTATGTAAGGACACAGTTTAACTTATGTAAGGACATGGTTTAACTCATTTAAGGACATGGTTTAACTTATGTAAGGACATGGTTTAACTCATTTAAGAACACGGTTTAATTTATGTAAGGACATGGTTTAACTCATGTAAGGATATGGTTTAACTTATGTAAGGACACACTTTAACTTATGTAAGGACATGGTTTAACTCATTTAAGAACACGGTTTAATTTATGTAAGGACATGGTTTAACTCATGTAAGGATATGGTTTAACTTATGTAAGGACACACTTTAACTTATGTAAGGACATGGTTTAACTCATTTAAGAACACGGTTTAATTTATGTAAGGACATGGTTTAACTCATGTAAGGATATGGTTTAACTTATGTAAGGACACACTTTAACTTATGTAAGGACACGGTTTAAATCACATAAGGACACACTTTAACTCATATGTAAAGACACAATTTAACTCATGTAAGGACACAATTTAGCTCACGTAAGAACACAGTTTAAGTAAGGACTCAGTTTAAAAGCAGCATTCATCTGGTACCAAGTTAATTATTATTGCATTATGATGTTTATAAACATGCTTATTTACAAAGAGAAGTATTTAAAATTTAACAGTTACAAACTTTGCTATATGACTCATATCAGGCAAACTAAGGTCGCTGGGCATAGTGATGACCACACTATGCAGAGGTCATTGAAACAGATGAACTCTACTTCATCTGCCCCATGTGTCTGGCATGAACAAAAAAATGTGCTGATGAGACACTTACAATGTTAGGGACCAACTGTGGTCTGTTTTTGCGGATCATGCGGACAGCATTCAAGACGTCGACTTCCCTCTCAGACCTCACCTGGTCACAGCAAACAGAGATGGCACAAAACAGCCCAACTCTACTGCAGCCATCTCTTGTAGGAAAATAGGTGACAATTTAAATTAAAGCACCTATAAATAAGCTTACTGACAACTACCAAGCCTATCTTCTCCATGATCTCAATACATAGTGTAAACAAATTTTTAATGGTTTATAAGTTGAATTAAAAAAATATATTGAAATAAAATTATATTAAATATAGATAGTGAAGTTTTTTTTTTAAATTCTTTTTATTTGATATTTCATGAGTTTTAATTATATATCTAACACAATATCTATAACTATATTCATTACTTTAAAAAAATATCAAAAACTTTTTACTGTGTTGAGTCTTACTTATCTAGGCCTCAACCTTAGACAGTATCTGTATTTATTAATTTAAAAACACCAAAACTGTTTACTTTGAGATGACACAGATAGGCTGCCTGTTGTTGCACCTTCTCTGCCAGTCAACAGCGCCTTCCATGACGGCCAGTAGAGACTTGGACATAATCCCCACACCCCCAGTACTGCTGGAGCGCCTCTTGTCCCCATCACTTTGGGTACCGTCCACACTCCCTCGTCGTCTGCTGCGAGATGAACTCCTGCTCACTCCGACACTGCCCCCTAGACTCATGACTTGGAACATTTTTACAATGACTTCGTCTTGTCTAACTTCACATCCTATCAGATTGTTCATGATCTGAAATTTAGTTTTAGTAAAAATAAAAAGTTGATTCACTGTGGCTTTATAAATTTAGATCAGCCTATGTAAGGTGTGTCAAGTTTTTAATAAAACGACACAAATGCTTTGTAAAAGTAAAAATACAAATTTTAACTTTGATTTACTACCCCAAGACATGAGTAGTAGATCTGTAGGCTATCTAGTTAAATAATGATTTCAACTTAAAACTAATTATTAAGTCAAGAACAGATATCTTAATTTGTAAAAAGCAGAATTCAATAGCGGCATAGAGCAAGCTTGGACTGATCAAGCTGAAGTGAAATGTTAAGTTATGTTGATGAAAGGTCTACATCAAAATAATTGTATGGCTCTGGCATTGAATAAATGTAGCTAAAATTGTAAGTTTGTTAGTCGTTAGTTACATTCATGCTTTCATTCATCAAAGAGTCATGTTTAAACACAAGTAATAAAGCCTCAAGTTTTATTTTTATTTGTCTTTCTCCATAAACTAACATTAAGTCAGTAGTATGCATGGTCTATATATTTAAAAAAAATTTAAAGTCCACGAAAAATGGCGTACTTAAGATTAACAAGACAGTAGAATCTATGACTATGTATGTAGGAACCATGAAGTTAATTTTTGTTACTTGAAAGCTGGAAGATAATTATGTAGCACTCATTAAAAACAGCTTTGGAATGTAGATCAAGCTGCTTTAATATTATGTTATATGTGTGTGTCTGTTGCTACACACAAAAGAAATTTGTTGTGCTTTGTTTTATTTGATAAGAAAGCTAATTTCTACAACAACAAAAATTTAAAGAAAACTAAAATTCTGATTACTATTAGCACAATTTTATTTACTAGAACATTTAAGATAAAATATATTTGAAAATAAAATGTGTGACAAATATTCTAAAGGGCTTTTTATATATATTTCAAAAAGACTTTATAATCAGGTATTGTTGGTTTTTTTAATTAGAATTTGTGTCTAAAACAATGAACCAAGTTGGAAACTTTAAGAAATTTTGAATTTTAAAAAAAAAGTGCTTTGTTGTAGGATTAAATATTGCATGCTTGTGCAACGTGTAGTTAAAATTTGTATCAATGAACCGTAGTTATTCTAGATTCAAGTAAACATCTCTGCAGCTTAGACATTATAAGATTTCCTTGATCCTATTCACCACTTTCAATCAATACATTTTAAAGTAGATCATATGAAACATGGAAAAAATAGAAGAAAGAATAAAAGTGTAGGTAAATCTCTAACTACAGCAATATTTAAAAGAATTAATTTGATCAGTTAACTTGATTTTTTTTAAATTGTTAATTAATACATCATTTTAAAAAGTGTGATTAAAATTTAATTTAATCAGCACAGTGAAAAAAAATATTTATAATCTAGTTTGAATTAATGAAGTTTCCAGTGAAAAATACAATAGTATAGGTGGGTGGTTGTTTGTAATTTTTTTTTTTTTTTTAAGGTGCTTATAATCAGCTTTTATTAAACATTGCTTATGTTGAAACTATCACACAAGATATAAATTCTTAACTTCTGGTATAGCAAAAAGTATTTGAATTAAAAAATTTAATATGCATACAACAATAAGAAAAAAAAATAAAAAAAGAATATTATTGTATGCCAATAAGTGTGCAGCATTAAATAAATAAATAAAAAATTCTTAAAAAGTTGTGTAATAATTGAAAAGAAACAAATCCACTTAGAACAAAAAAGTGACAAACAAACATTCAGAGAGATCTAATCGTAAAACAAAACGATAGCCCAGACCCTGGTTAAAAAATGAAATGAAAATGCTTGCAAGTGTGCAGACGTGGGGGGAAAGGTTGCTAAAGATTACCATCATATCTTCACTGATGCTAATTAGTGCTTGTGCTATTAGGTGAGGATGTCGTTTTGGCTGCAAAGTCAAGGAATTGAGCATAAGGAAATATTGGACCAACACAAAACAGCGCTGTTGTTCTGCGGTTTTTTTTCCACAAAAATAAGATAGTTTTACATAGGCCTAGATTGATTAGGAAGCCGAAAAATGTTCACACTTGATAGTTTATTTTCAAAATGGTGTTAATTGGCATAGATTTAAAGCATTAACATTGTGAGATTTCAAGTTGAGCTTAAATGTAGTGTGGTAGAACTCACAAAGTACTTGTTGTTATGGAAAATATTTTTACCTTTCTTATGGCAAAAGTTCTGGTAACAAGATGATTTATTCTCTCACAGGCCAAGTATCGAACACTGATTGGGCCATAGTTGGCCACTTGATCAATCTCTCGAGGCCAAAATCTGGGGTAGTTCTGGAAAATAGAACAAGAACAGTAACTCAAGTTATCATTACTTAATTAATTCTCTGCTGTGTTTCAACTTAGTTAAAAAGAAATTTTACTCAAGTGCTTGTTATTAAGGCCTTAAACAGTGTCTTCTATTATTTTTTTTTGTGTAAAAATAGTACCATAGAGGAGGAGTTTTTCTTTAAAGTTTTTCTTTGTATGCACTATGCACATTCTTGAGATATGCATGGACCTTTTCTTCAGAACATCTTAGTGAAGTTTAACTTGATATTTTAACTTTGATCAAATCAAAAGAATGTTTCAGCCGATAGGCCTTTTCAATAATTTTTAATGTTGTTAATACAACTACATAGTACATTCTAGATCATCATATCTAAGTAATCAGTAGGGTAGTATTCAGTTAAGTAGGTCTATAATGGCTATGTACTAAATATAATTAGTAAACAAATTATTATAATGGCTAGGACCCAGGGGCGGAACTACAGTGCCGCCAGACCCCGCAATGCGGGGGGGGGCACGCCGTTTAGGGGGCCCACAGCCGCCCATAATCATTTTTTTTTTATAGTTAAAATTAATTTTCTTGCATTTTTGACCTGATGGTTGTTCTGAAAAAAGAATACTGTAGCTGCAGTTGAAGTATCTTTATTCTATAGACACCATCCCACGCTCTTGAATATTCTTTTTCCTACAATCAAACACACGCTGTTGTCGGCAAAATTCTTTTGAAAAAACATCAATTGCGCGAGAGGCCGCTAGATATTAAGACGGCTTTTTGAGACCATCCCACATTCGGTATTGATGGATAAAAGCACATCGGTGCTTTGTTGTTCCTTTTAAGTTCCTTTCTCAGACCACCCCTCCCGCTCTTAGCATTACAAAAAGCGAATAGATAGCGCCTCAACAACTAAGCTGGCTCGTATCGGTGGTAGTGTAGACAAACTAGCGCTCCAACAAATAAGATCCAAGAAATAAAGTGCCGACATTGTTTACGTTTAATAACCACTGTTCTAGAAAACAAGGTAAACGTCTCAAATAAATACACGAATGATAGTGTTATATATATATATATATATATATATATATATATATATATATATATATATATATATATATATATATATATATACTAGCCGTCCCGGCCAGGCCCTGCTCTGGCTTCTGTGAAAAACCTTTCTGTTAAAGACCATTACCTGTGTGTTTAGTAATCATCATAAACCCGGCATTGCCCACCCAAACCACAACCAACCAAAACCAAAACAACAAAACGCAAACATAACGCTAACACAATTACAAATACAAACGAAAACAAAAACTTAACAACAAACACAACCACACCCACAAACACCAATACAAACACAAAGAAAAAACAAACAAAAAAGCAAACGAAAACAAAAACCTAACAACAAACCCAACCACAAACACCAATACCAACAAAAAAAATCAACGAAAAAAGCAAACGAAAACAAACCAAATCCAAACGCAAAACCAACCAAAAACACAAATACAAACCCAAACAAAAAAAACACAAACAAAAACGAAAAAAGAAAGAACAAAAACGAACCAAATCAAAACGCCACCACTAACGCAAACCCACCTAAACACAAAGAAAACACTAACGCGAACATAAACGCCCGGGGCGGAATCACCTGTTTTAGCTTAATGAACGACTATAGTACCCCAACTTATTCACAGTCTTTTGCACTCACTTAAACGAACGCGCCTGTTTCAATTTAATAAACAATTTTAATACTCCAAGCTTATCCGTAAAATACCTACAACATTTGCACTTGATCAATCCCCGCTAATTATGTAATTATATTTTTTTTCCCAACACCAAAACAAAGTAATTAAAAAGTAAATTATTTTCACGGAATGCAATGGTTTTATAAAGGGAAGTAATTGTGTTTTTCCTAATTTATCAAAGGGAAGTAAGTGCTATAGGACTAAATAAAGACATAATTAGAATTTTTGTAAAAGATGATATTTTTTTTAAAACTTGTGTTTAATGAACATGCCGACAATTATTACTATAATTTGAAAAATGAAAATGATTTCCCAACACTTTCAATAGTAATTTTTTAGCTTATAAATTTAGACAAATGCGCACGATAATTTTCTAACACTTAAATTCGTACAATTCCAACGACATACAAATGCATTACATACAGAACTGAGCTTTATATATTAGATATATATATATACCAATTAGTTTCGTCACTGGCACCTTGATAGTGGTTTTGTAAATAACAAACAGATAACAAAACAGATCTAATAATGTAGTGATGTTAATAACATTGTTATATAGTAGCTAAGACAGGCTGTTGCGTAAAATATTTTTTTTTAAAAATATACACGTGAGCTGTAGTGTGAAAGATAGGCTAACGTTCAAACCACTACCATAAATTATTTCCCTTTTTCAAATAGTCAAATAGGGATGCTCATAAGCTCCTTTTAAGAGATTTGTAATAATCAAATTAAACAGCAATTACTTATCTTAATAAAATAAGTAGGCGTACTAAAGAATGGTATAGTATAAAAATGAAATGTAGTTAAAATCAATAATATAAATACAAAAAAAAACATAAAAATAAACATAACACGAGACACCATTACTTATACAAAGCTTCATGATTTATATACTTTTGACCGACGTAATGATTAGAGGTATTAAAGATAAATGAAAACAGAGATTTTCAAAACAGACCAATGCACTCATACACATGACATGTTGTTGTGATTAGATTTAATTGAATTTTTTTTTTCAAAACCCGATCAGGCCAGAAATGAGTATCCTATGTTCGTATTTTGTGTTTGTATATATATTTAAATATATATATATATATATATATATATATATATATATATATATATATATATATATATATATATATATATATATATATATATATATATGGGGGGGCCCAAAACAATTTTTTGCGGGGTGGCCCATTTTTTCTAGTTCCGCCACTGCTAGGACCTATGAGCTGCCTTGCCTATGGCCCATGGTATGATGGTTGAGTTGGCAAAATTAAACGACTTTGTGACCAGATGCGACATCTTGTGACTGCCACCAATCTACCGTCAGCCACTCTCAGAAAATACTTACCCTGGTTGTATAGAATTTAGTTATCGCCCCTGGCTGTATAGAATTTAGTTATCACCCCTGGTTTTATAGAATTTAGTTATCACCCCTGGATGGATAGAATTTAGTTATCGCCCCTGGAATGTGTTTTTTTTTTCATGAAATAAAAATAATCACTCAACAAATTATGTAAATAATTATTTATCAAAATTATATAAATAATTGTGTGTCTAAATTGTTAAAGTGTAAACGATGATGTGACAAACTTATGGACCTACCCTGGAGAATTTGCTGGGGTCGTTCATGAAGACGAGTGAGGTAATCTTGAAGTCTATCACCAGCCTCCACAGGTCTGCTATCGTCTTTCTCATTGGCCACTGGGTCACAAGGTACGAATGTTCTGTGTGGTAGCCCTAGGTCACGTGGCAAAAATCAAATCAGCTCATCTTTTTGACATCATCGGTAAGCAAAAGGGTTAAACCATAGGCCATTGTGATTAAACAACCAGGGGTTACCAGGGCGGGTCGTCCATAAATGACGTCACACTCGTAAGGGGGTCCGTAATTTTGTGACGGTGTCTGATGAGGGGGGTGGGGGGTTCAGATGGTGCGACGTCCCACTTTTGCATTATAAAAAAGCAATGTTAGAAAACGAATTGTAGACGTTATTTCGAAAACTATTTTAATAAATTGTAATAGGAATTGATTAAAATACTCTATTTTGACAGAATTCAGACAAGATTTTGAAAAAATATCGATGTTTAAAAAAAAAATCAACTGCAATTGTAGGCTGAGGTGTGACCTCATTTTAGGGGGGGGGGTCTGGCTTTTTGTGACGATGTGTGACGGAGGGGAAGGGGGGGGGGGGGGGGGGGTAAAAATCGTCAAAAAAAGCGTGACGTCATTTATGGATGACCCCCCAGGCTATAATTAAAATTTTGTTTAAGAAAATTGATGTATTTTTGCATGAGTCGAATTTCAATGGTTTATTTTTTTTATTTCAGGTATGTCAATATCAGCGGGGTCTTGGATCAGTAGCGAGTTTTAAAAATCAGAGATGACTCATTTTAAGTTTGACATCGCTATGTCATATACCCCCCCCCCCCCCCCCCAAACTCCCCCAAGCTAAAGTAATCGTATGTCGTGTATCAGAAAATTGGAGATTTCACTTTTGAAAGAGCTTTTGAAGCCTGTGATAATTAAAATAAGTTTTGATTTTAAATTGAACTGGCTGCGACGGCGTATATAATGCTTTCAAATGTTAAAATATCGATTTTAATTATTAGTTTGCATCGTATAAAGCTTTTTCTAAAACTTTTATAATTAAAAAATAATGTGTCATTCAATAGGCGACATCGCTTAGATGGTGTGTGGGGGTATGTGAGAGAGTGTGGGGGTGTGTGGGAGTATGTGGAAGAGTGTGGGAGTATGTGAGGGAGTGGGAGTATGTGAGAGAGTGTGGGGGTGTGGGAGTATGTGGAAGAGTGTGGGAGTATGTGAGGGAGTGGGAGTATGTGAGAGAGTGTGGGAGAGTGTAGCAGTATGTGGGAGAGTGTGAGAGTATTTGAGAGAGTGTGGGGGTGTGGGAGTACGTGGAAGAGTGTAGGAGTATGTGAGGGAGTGGGAGTATGTGAGAGAGTGTGGGAGAGTGTAGCAGTATGTGAGAGAGTGTGAGAGTATTTGAGAGAGTGTGAGGGGTGTGAGAGTATGTGAGAGAGTGTGGGAGAGTGTGGCTGTATGTGAGAGAGTGTATGTGGGGGTGGGGGTGGCAGTATGTGAGAGAGTGTATGTGGGGGTGGGGGTGGCAGTATGTGAGAGAGTAGGGATTATGTAACACTAAGAGCCTCCAGTTACAGGAGGACAGACAAGGCTTGACATCAACCATTGTGTTTCCTAGATTCTCGTGACTCAATACTTGACACCAGCGCGGCGTGGGGGTGGGGGGGTGTATTGGGGCGCTGGGTCATAGCAAACAGGTTGGACAAGAACAATTTGACCTTAGCCTAAGGGTGACAAACGCCTTGCTCGTAAAAAACTGTATATGATGTTGCATAGCGTAGGCGGGCGTGCGACGGGGGGTTCACAAGGGGGGGGGGGGGCGGAGGAGGGCGTTGGCCCCAAACGAGGAGAGGTTAGAGCTCTAGATAGTATGGTCAAAAAGATCTTTTTGGGAAGGAATACGATCCAGATAATAATTTAAATCTATGGAACATTTGCTTTCGGTAAAAGGCATGCTCGTTCTGGGCAGTAAATTGTAAGGCATGCATTGTTCTGGGAAGTAAGATGTAAATAAAATTCATGTTCTGGGCTGGAGGGTGTAAATCAGAGGAGTGAAGTGGAGTTTAGCAACGCAACTTTTTTTAGTGTCAGTATTAATTATTTTACGATCGTTTGCAATCCCCCCCCCCCCCAAAAAAAAAAAACATAAGTAAATAAATAAATGACCCACTAGAACCGTTTAGTCAGAGAATTTTATCCTGATAACCCCAAGTTGGCTAATTTCTTCTAGCACCTCCAGAAATTGGCAGAGGCCCAGAACACACACTCTGACACCGTCCTTCTTCCCCTCATAGCTGCCTCTCTCTTTACACTGTCATTAGTATTCACGTGTTAATCTCTCTCGCGTCATCAAGGGCACTGTATCCGAGATAATAACCAAACAAGTGCCATTATGTTATTGTTCCCGCTTTGATGGAAAGGGGAGGGGGAGATGCTCTCAAGGGAAGCGACCCAGAATTTTTTTTATCTTCGGTTGTCGTTATTACTTGTATATACGATTGTACAGGCTAGTGAACGTAACTCAACGAAAAACGTATCCATGCTCCAAAGAGTAATGTAACGCAAGCGTAGTTAACCAAGACTAAACAACAACTTGAATGCTACAACTAAATTAATCCTCAGATAATATCTTAAAACATGAAGTTATAATAAAAAATAAACAATAAAAACACATTATATTAATTATGTACGCCTAAAAATAGCACATATTTGTTTATGATCATGGAGAAAAAAATCGATTGGCAGTACTCATGCTACAAATAATTTCTTTCGCTTGTAAATTGCTGGCTTGGCTTCATTATCCTGCTCAAGACAATCGGTGGGTTATTTTTAGACTGACAGACTGGATGTTCAGAAACTAAATTAAGATGTGTAAAGTTTAATGTGTGACGTTAATTGTGTGACGTTAATTGTGAAAGACTTAAATGTGTGACGTTAATTGTGTGACGTTAATTGTGTGACGTTAATTGTGTGACGTTAATTGTGAAAGACTTAAATGTGTGACGTTAATTGTGTGACGTTAATTGTGTGACGTTAATTGTGAAAGACTTAAATGTGTGACGTTAATTGTGTGACGTTAATTGTGAAAGACTTAAATGTGGGACGTTTATTGTGTCAGACTGAAATTTGATGACTGTTGAGTGAGAATGTGACGTGTATGAGTGATTGTATTCGTGAGTTGTAAATATGGTGAGTTGTAGTTGCTGTGGTTCTATGTGTGAGTTGTAGTTGCTGTGGTTCTATGTGTGAGTTGTAGTTGCTGTGGTTCTATATGTGAGTTGTATTTGCTGTGGTTCTATGTGTGAGTTGTAGTTGCTGTGGTTCTATATGTGAGTTGTATTTGCTGTGGTTCTATGTGTGAGTTGTAGTTGCTGTGGTTCTATGTGTGAGTTGTAGTTGCTGTGGTTCTATGTGTGAGTTGTAGTTGCTGTGGTTCTATGTGTGAGTTGTAGTTGCTGTGGTTCTATGTGTGAGTTGTAGTTGCTGTGGTTCTATGTGTGAGTTGTAGTTGCTGTGGTTCTATGTGTGAGTTGTAGTTGCTGTGGTTCTATGTGTGAGTTGTAGTTGCTGTGGTTCTATGTGTGAGTTGTAGTTGCTGTGGTTCTATTTGTGAGTTGTAGTTGCTGTGGTTCTATGTGTGAGTTGTAGTTGCTGTGGTTCTATGTGTGAGTTGTAGTTGCTGTGGTTCTATGTGTGAGTTGTAGTTGCTGTGGTTCTATTTGTGAGTTGTAGTTGCTGTGGTTCTATGTGTGAGTTGTAGTTGCTGTGGTTCTATTTGTAAGTTGTAGTTGCTGTGTTTGTATGTGTGAGCGCTAGTTGCTGTGGTTCTATGTGTGAGTTGTAGTTGCTGTGGTTCTATGTGTGAGTTGTAGTTGCTGTGGTTCTATGTGTGAGTTGTAGTTGCTGTGGTTCTATGTGTGAGTTGTAGTTGCTGTGGTTCTATGTGTGAGTTGTAGTTGCTGTGGTTCTATGTGTGAGTTGTAGTTGCTGTGGTTCTATGTGTGAGTTGTAGTTGCTGTGGTTCTATGTGTGAGTTGTAGTTGCTGTGGTTCTATTTGTGAGTTGTAGTTGCTGTGGTTCTATGTGTGAGTTGTAGTTGCTGTGGTTCTATGTGTGAGTTGTAGTTGCTGTGGTTCTATGTGTGAGTTGTAGTTGCTGTGGTTCTATGTGTGAGTTGTAGTTGCTGTGGTTCTATGTGTGAGTTGTAGTTGCTGTGGTTCTATGTGTGAGTTGTAGTTGCTGTGGTTCTATTTGTGAGTTGTAGTTGCTGTGGTTCTATGTGTGAGTTGTAGTTGCTGTGGTTCTATGTGTGAGTTGTAGTTGCTGTGTTTGTATGTGTGAGTTCTAGTTGCTGTGTTTGTATGTGTAAGTTGTAGTTGCTGTGTTTGTATAAGTGAGTTCTAGTTGCTGTGGCTCTAAGTGTGAGTTGTAGTTGCTGTGGTTCTATGTGTGAGTTGTAGCTGCTGTGGTTCTATGTGTGAGTTGTAGTTGCTGTGTTTGTATGTGTGAGTTGTAGTTGCTGTGGTTCTATGTGTGAGTTGTAGTTGCTGTGGTTCTATGAGTGAGCACTAGTTGCTGCGGTACTCACATTGATGTAAACAGCGTTGATAAAGTCTGTCCCACAATCACCACAATCTGCCGTAGACAGGTAGGGTCGGGCACATTCAGCTGGGGATAGAAGACAAGATTGGGGGGGGAGGTGGAGACATGTTTTTAGATTGATGTTGTGTTGTGTTAACAATTGCCTCTATTTAAATGACAACAATCTAAAGCAGTGGCGTCACTAGGTCGGGTGTCATCGATTGCTGTCAGGGACTCAGCCCCAGTCACGTGATGCTACTGGTCTAAACAAGTGACGTCACTAGGGTGGGTCCAGTCTCGTCATGATGCTACTGGTCTAAACCAGTGACGTCACTAGGGTGGGTCCAGTCTCGTGATGCTACTGGTCTAAATGACGTCACTATTCGGGTCCAGTCTCGTTATGATGCTACTGGTCTAAACCAGTGACGTCACTAGGGTGGGTCCAGTCTCGCCATGCTACTGTATTCAGCAAAGCATGAACAAGGAAAATTAAATGCCTTTTCCCATGCATGATTACATTTTTGTTCTTAAAACCAAGAACATTCGTCTGTCAACGCTTAAACTCTACCACAGATCATATGTGTAGTTAGCTACAGGGTGCTCTAATATCACCGTCAGCTATACGATGTTCTATTGGACATAGCTCAAAATGCGACCCTTGATAGCCATGGCCTACTGATTGCCTTATCTAAATAACTATTTGTAATAATTATTGTATATTATATACTCATTTCTTTAATTCTTTATTTTATTTAATTTGTCAACATGTCACTAAAACCCAATCCCTTGAAAGCTATTCTATCCACCTCCCTCCCCTCCACACACAAACGCACATACACTCAAAGCATGTAATTTCCACTATACTCTCAATTTCCACCCCCACCCCCATTTAAAATATTTACAAAGACAGAAAGACATAATTTGTAAAATAGATCTCTAACCCTTTGTCTATTGAAAAAAAATACCGTTTCAATAACCATGTTTGTTTTTGTTATAGTGGCGTAAATTAATCTTTTTTGAAGAAAGATTTGAAACAGTCGACGTTTGTTGCGGGGAGTGTTTGTGTGTCTTTGTGTGGTAGAAAAAAATAACCCGAATGTTTTATTGATGGCGGGTTGTAGGGGCGCAACGTTCAAATATGCATGGAGGCCGTCCGTTCTGTAGCGGGATCCAGATGAAATTCTGCCAGAGAAAGAGAATCTTTTTCTGGCAACTCTTGTTGAAAATTTAATGTTAAAACGCCCCGGAACTGTAAAGTGAGAAGCGAGTAGAATAGGGAAGGGCGTGCGCAAAGGGTGGGGTGGGGAAGGGCGCTTGCGTGGGGGAGGGGTGGGTACAGGTTTCAAATCGAGGCTGTTGTTGGCCTCATTCAGCCCCTGGAGATGTCGTACAAACAGCTCGATAAACAAACAACTGACACTCATATCCCGGGCCTAATTAATAGTTAGACTAATTAATTAGCCAGTGGTTTTATGGACGTGGTAGCACGTGCTGAAACACACGCTGACACTGATATTAATTAAAGTGATATTCGGGGACGTGTTTTTCTATACAGACCAAAATGTCCCAGTTTAGTAGGTCATACATGCGATAATATAGCGATGAAACAATATATAACTATAGTGTAGTATCATCATGATGTGTGACTATAATCCTAAGATAACATCACCATGTCTAAATCTACTCACGAGGTAACATCATGATGTCTAAAATCACGAGATAAAATCATGATGTCTAAATCTACTCACGGGGTAACATCACGATGTATAAATCTACTCACGGGGTAACATCACGATGTATAAATCTACTCACGAGGTAACATCATGATGTCTCGGCTTTTGTTCCTGTTCTCCACCCGATGTCCACTGGCACAGTCCCCGATACTCAGCCTTGGTACCAGAGCTTGTAAGGCCTGTAAGACAACAGGGTTAAGGCTTAACGCTAATCCTAATCCCAGCATGTAAGACAACAGGGTTTAGGCTTAGCGCTAATCCTAATCTGAGCATGTAAGACAACAGGGTTTAGGCTTAACGCTAATCCTAATCTGAGCAGTGGCCCACAGTTCTTCCACTATCATACATGTAACTAACAACACTAAGTCTAAACGTATCTTGTAGCTTTCACGTCACTTCTACAAAAAATACTTCTTGTCAAAATATAAACTTCTGTTTGGTCGGATGTTACTATAATTAGCGTTTGGGTAGATGTTACTATAATTAGTGTTTGGGTGGATGTTACTATAATTAGTGTTTGGGTAGATGTTACTATAATTAGTACCTGGAATTCCCGCTCCAGCTTTTTGTTTTTGGAATCACATCCGTGAGCGTAGTGGACGTTGTACGTGGCGAGAAAAGAGTGGACGGGGTAGACGGTGATACCACACTGGAGGTACATGGCCACGGCCTCGTAGATCTGCTGGTACTGGCTCTAGAGGCAAGTTGTACAGTCATGGGGCTAGTCAGACAATCATGGGACTAGTCATACAATCATGGGGCTAGTCATACATTCATGGGGCTAGTTATACAGTCATGGGGCTAGTCATACAATCATGGGGCTAGTCATACATTCATGGGGCTAGTTATACAGTCATGGGGCTAGTCATACAATCATAGGGCTAGTCATACAATCATGGGGCTAGTCATACAATCATGGGGCTAGTTATACAATCATGGGGCTAGTTATACAATCATGGGGCTAGTTATACAATCATTGGGGCTAGTCATACAATCATGGGTCTAGTTATACAATCATTGGGGCTAGTCATACATTCATGGGGCTAGTTATACAATCATGGGGCTAGTTATACAATCATGGGGCTAGTCATACAATCATGTGGCTAGTTGTACAATCATGGGTCAAGTTATACAATCATGGGGCTAATCATACAATCATGGGGCTAGTTATACAGTCATGGGGCTAGTTATACAGTCATGGGGTTAGTCATACAATCATGGGTGAAGTTATACAATCATGGGTCAAGTTATACAATCATGGGTCGAGTGGCACAATCATGGGTCAAGTCATAGAATCAAGGGCCAAGTTATACAATCGGACATACTGCAAGATGCTATGAAGCCTATATACTGTGCTAAAGTAAGATGCCATAAAGCTGATATAGAATGCTTAAGTAAAAAGCTTTACAGCTAATATCAAACGATAAATTGACGGACCAAATGTAATGTGAGTGGAGAGGTCGTGACGTCATTGTGTGTACTCACCACCGTGCGCACCATGTTCTTCCTGAACCTCCGCAGGTGCAGGACAGCGCTGTACACATCCACCCTGTCTTCTGCCTGCAGCTGGTGGAGGCAGTAATCCACCGCCACGTACACAGCCGTCCTTCCACCGCCACACCTGGGGGTACAAGTGTGTGGGGGTCTTACATCAATGGTGTGGGTCTTACATCAATGGTGTGTGGGTTTTATGTGTGTGTGGGTCTTACATCAATGGTGTGGGGGTCTTATGTGTGTTGGGGTCTTACATCAATGGTGTGTGGGTCTTACACTAATGGTGCATGTGGGTCTTTCATCAAAGGTGTGTGTGTGTTACATCAATGGTGTGTGTGTGTTACATCAATGGTGTGTGTGTTACATCAATGGTGTGTGTGTTACATCAATGGTGTGTGTGTTACATCAATGGTGTGTGTGTGTCTTTCATCAATGGTGTGTGTGTTATATCAATGGTGTGTGTGTGTGTCTTTCATCAATGGTGTGTGTGTTACATCAATGGTGTGTGTGTGATATGATGTGTGGCGGTGAATGATTTCTTGTGTGTTGATGTATGTGATGTAGGATGATGTGACATATGACGCTGAATTATGTCAAGTACCTATGAGTATGCGTATGGAACGTACGAAATACGAGTGTTAAGGCATACGAATTTTGAACAAACCTACATTGTTTGAATCTCGAGACAAATCTATGACATTGTGTTGGGACATACTGTGAACCAGGTTTGAAATATAAGATCAGCGTACAAATCGTAAAATTACGAATTCTGGGACCAAAGTGTATGAATGTTGAGACAGAAATTGTGCGACGCTAAAGATATAAACACGAAAGGTCAAGGTATAACTGAAAAGGTCATCCAGACGAATGTTGAAACATAAAGTGTTTGAACGTCGAGTCATTCAAAGTACGAGTGTCGAGACATACCCACAATGGATGAATGTTGAAACAAAATGTGTGAGCTTTGGGACATGCAGGGTACGAATGTTGAGACATGCACAGTCCGAGAGTCGAGACAAGTACGGTACGAATGTCGAGTAATGCACAGTACCTGTGTCGAGACATGTATGGTACGTGTGTCGAGACATAAACGGTACGTGTGTCGAGATATTCAAAATACGAGAGTCGAGACATACCTACAATGGATGAATGTTGAAAGAAAGAGTGTGAACTTTGGGACATGCAGGGTTCGAGTGTCGAGACATGCAGGGTTCGAGTGTCGAGACATGCAGGGTTCGAGTGTCGAGACATGCAGGGTTCGAGTGTCGAGACATGCAGGGTACGAGTGTCGAGACATTCCTACGATGGATGAATGTTGAAACAAAAAGTGTGAACTTAGGGACATGCAGGGTACGAGTGTCGAGACATGGAGGGTACGAGTGTCGAGACATGGAGGGTTCGAGTGTCGAGACATACCTACAGTGGACCAGAGTAGGGCCGGGTCGAGGCACGCTGTTGACCCGTCTCCTGACGTCGAGCAGAAGACCCGGGTCCGGACTCTCGTCGTGGAAGCCAATCATCTCGTAGTGCGTCAGTATCCTGCTCTCACAACACCCCTCCTGCAATTAGTCGGGGCACAACTTTTTAAACAGCTCATCAAAATTTAATTAATTAAATCAAGATTTCGCACTGATACACAATTCGTCAAATTAAGCTACTCTAATCTTTAAATTAGTAGAATCCATCGTTATAAAATTGGGGTTTTAATCAGCAAAAAAAAAATATTATTTTATCTGTAAACGTCCAATGTGGCAAGTTACCTTCTGTATCCTGAAAGTCCTAATGTTTAACTGTGCCAGGTAATTGCTCGCTTCGTGCCAAATATGAATGTGGCCGTGTTTCGCGTGCCGGCGTGTATGGTCGACCCAATACTTCTCACACTGTTGCTAAAACAAAGCACACACTTCAAAGACTGTTTAACAAAGACAACTGTTCAAAGATTCTTTAACAAAGCCAACTGTTCAAAGATTCTTTAACAAAGCCAACGGTTCAAAGAATGTTTGAACCACTCAACGGCTGCTCTTTTTATTAAAACTATTTTTATAATTATAAAACTATTTTAGGATTGGTAACTAAAAGAAAAAGAGAATAATCATAACGCAAAAATTGAAAATGGCATCGTTAAATCATAATGAGACATGCATAAAAACATTTATAATACCAAGCATTTAAGTGCATTAAATTTTTTTTTTTACTTCAAATTTAATAGACCCTAAATACTATAATCTTATAGTAGTTTATAATAACAAACTATATTATAATAAACGCTAAAAAGAAGGAAATAATATTATTTTCTATAAATCTATAATAATGCGCCAGCATTTAAATAACTAAAAGGAAAATCGTGAGTGGCTAGATTAGACTTTAATGTATTGAATACGCCTACTAAAATGTGTATAAGCGTTCAAACTATTCTTTATAGTTTACTTTAAGGCCAGTGTGACGTCACACTTTCTGAACTCCCCTCCCCCTCATTATTACATTAATCCGAACACCCCACCCCTCCCTATAAATGTGACGTTCTTTACATGTCAATCTTTAATTAGCTTTTAAAAGGTTAATGAATCATTTAATTATCTCAAAGTTCTCGCCACATTGCGCTGTCGTCGAATCTTGACCAACGTATCACGTTAAAAAAAATCGGTTCGGTATAAGTGGGTCACATTTCGCTCGCAAGCTTCCGACCTTAGCAGACGACAAAAACACCAAGGATCAAGTTAAATAAAGATAGGAAAATAAAAAAAAGGTATCTTTTGGTATTCTTGATGCAGCAGTTCGTTCTTGTGTTAAAGAGATTGAACGAGTTTGTTAATAGCATTGTTATTCAGTTACATCTTTTACGTTTCACTTTTTTTTAAAATATTTATGAATTGTAAAAATATAATATCAAGTTGATAATTAGCTTTTTAAAACAGTTAGTATCAGATTTAGTGTCCAATGTCACTCGATTAAAATATTTCTTCTAGTTGTATAACTCTCCGTATCCTGCGATATATAAACTCTAAACGAGGGTTATCTGCCCCTCAGATTTAGTGTCCAATGTCACTCGATTAAAATATTTCTTCTAGATCTAGTTGTATAACTCTCCGTATCCTGCGTTACATAAACTCTGAACGAGAGTTATCTGCCCCTGATTCGCTTGTCTCGGCTTTCAGATTTGTCAACAAATTGGCCTGAAAACCGTGAACACGAGCTCAAAAGATGGATGGAGTGATGGCTACTTCTTGGTGATCTCCCCTTTTGTCATTGATTACATGGAGATCTATATTTTTATGTCGACATTTTGATATCACTCGCTTATGTACAAAAGCAATGCGGATTGCTGTAATTTTTCTTATTTCATATTTCACGCACGTTTTGTCAGCAATGTTGCAGAAAAGACACTCCGAACACTTACATACGGTATTTAATGAGTGTATTGTGTTAAGTGGGTCACTAGACCATATACCATATATGGCAGCAGAGAGGTTTTCTTAGTCGTGGTGGAGGGGGGAGGGTGGACGAAGGGTGCTGGTGGTGGGGGGTGGGGGTTAGTTGTGGGTAGGAATAGTAGGAATGTAAGGGGGTTATAAGACCGTTGGAGGTGCGCACAGAGAAAGACAGGTGAGCGGCTAGAAGCAGACAGGCCATCTAACACACACCCATAGACAAACACATCCTCACACAAACACCGCAACGCACATACATCAATAGACGAATAACACCCTAACAAGAACCCACCCTAACACGAACCCCCCACCCCCCCCCCCCCAGACGACCACCTTGTCACCACACCATTACCCAGTGTGAAACCATCTCCCACATTTGCTACCGTGTATGTTCTAGTTTACCCAGAGATCAATAGGCAGGGTGTACACTGAGTACACAGACGGGTCGAACACTAGCAGTGTGTACATTGTGGTACACAGCATGTACACAATTCACTACATTATCGTGTACACACCAACCTGCACAGAGCTAAATGTACAACACAGCTAGTATGTACATAAATGTGTACACATAAGTCTACAAACTGCAGGCGTACACACCTGCCTAAGCGTGTCACGTGAGTCAGTTTCTCCAATCAGAGTTGGCTTCTGTTGGTGTGGTGACTGTGTGTGGGTTGGGGTGGGGTGGGGGTGACGGACACACGAATGTCGCCACTAAATTGACTGCTGCCTTACAAGATTAGACCTAAGTGTCGTCAGCGAACTGGTCTAGCATATCAAACGGTCCGTTATGTCGTCACGATCTCGTCTGCTTGGTGTCTGCCCAGGAACCAACTTCCGGTCATTTTGACATTTTGGTCACCCCGAGCCAGAAAATGGCTCTAATCGGATTTTGGTGGGAGCACATTTCCGGTCATTTGGTCCAGCCGAACATTCGAGAAACTGGCTATTTAATGAGTAGCAGTCAGGTCGTTTCGTTTCTTTAAGTAACCAGAGTAAAGAAAAAGTTAGCAAGTATCCCACATAATTGTTTCCCGCTTTGTAGGGTTCATTTGATAACAGCTGCTACACCAGCTGGGGACGGAGTGGTCTAGCTGTAGAGAGCTGGACTACTAACAAAAAAATTCCCCCCCCCCCCCCGCCTCCCCCTCGAAAGAAATGGAATTTAAATACAAGATATATACTTTTAACATTGTCCGCCCCCCCCCCCCCTCCCAAAAATTTCAAGTCCTCCCCCCCCCACCCCCGTGAAAAAAATTCTGGAAGAAACACTGTAGCTAACTCACGTTCGTGAAAGTAAAGGCGGCTGGGCATATTGATGACCACACTATCCCTTCAAATGCCGAGGTCACAGAAACAAGTGAACTCTACTTCACTTGCCCTATAGACAATCAGGTTTGAAAAGGGAACTTTACTTGTAACTATACCAGCTAGTACTACTTCAAGTGTAGCAAAGAACTACACCAGCTAGTACTACTTCAAAAGTAGCAACTACACCAGTGGGTGCTACTTCAAATGTAGCAACAACAGCAGCTGGTACTACTTTAAGTATAGCAAAGAAAAAAATACAAAGTTGTCTGTCACTTGTCTTGATGAGTTGGTTTTAAAATGGTACCGGAACTTAACTCAAAAATTATTTAACCAAGGATCAACGTCTAACGACCAAATGTAATAAATGATCGATACAAAGCACTGAATGGTTATATTTCAGGAAACTGCATGTTGATGCATCTAACGTGAGCACCAAAAACAACGAACGGAGATGGATGAGAATACGAAGGATTGGGACATTGCAAAACTTTTTTAGCAAAGTCTGTGTCGAAAGACACTTAATTTTCTAGGCGAATGTAGCAGGCGTCATGATACAGCCATTACAAGGACGGTCCTGTCCTGTATGTTAAACAAACAGACGGAGGTCACGTGAATGTCACGTGAACACGCTGCTGTGTTTACTCACCACAGCATTTTCAAACAGACCGGTTGCCATGACAACGGTGGTAACGCCCTCTTGCCAAAGCATGTGCCAGAAAGAGACTAGGCATTTCGTACTAGGACCTGAGGAAACAAAAAGTCATGTACTGGTTGTTGTTGTTTTTTAAACAATTTATTTTCTGCGTAGTCCGCTAATTTGAAAGGTCAAAAATCAAATCAAATACAACCGAAACAAAATGAGTCAAAACAGGATGGGCTCAGGTGTTGGTAGATTGGACTAAAACATTGTAAAAAAAATTATTTTATTTTTTGGAAAAATCGAATTTGGCTTGACATTTAAATGCCGCCATATTTTGGTTGGTATCAAATTTGGTTTTATTTTACATCAACAATTGAGGGTTCTCAGATGTGGTTTTTCCCAGATTTTATTTTTGTTCTAAACGAAGATTATACTTTAAACACAACATCATTTTTAAACGCTATTATTTTGAGCTACGAGAGATCTAGGATTCGAACACGCCTTTTAGTGACACTTTATGGAATTTGCTAAGGGTATGCTATCTCATTTAATATTCAATGGTTATACCTGGAATCAACTAATTAGAGTTATTACGTATTACTCAATGAGCTCTAAGTGAAACCGCATTCTAAATGACACGACATTTCTACATGACACGACATTTCTACATGACACGACATTTCTACATGACACGACATTTCTACATGACAAGACATTTCTACATGACACGACATTTCTACATGACACGACATTTCTACATGAACACAACATTTCTACATGACACGACATTTCTACATGACACGACATTTCTACATGAACACAACATTTCTACATGACACGACATTTCTACATGACACGACATTTCTACATGACAAGACATTTCTACATGACACGACATTTCTACATGACACGACATTTCTACATGAACACAACATTTCTACATGACACGACATTTCTACATGACACGACATTTCTACATGAACACAACATTTCTACATGACACGACATTTCTACATGAACACAACATTTCTACATGACACGACATTTCTACATGAACACAACATTTCTACATGACACGACATTTCTACATGACATGACATTTCTACATGACACGACATTTCTACATGACGCGACATTTCTACATGACGCGACATTTCTACATGACGCGACATTTCTACATGACACGACATTTCTACATGACACGACATTTCTACATGACACGACATTTCTACATGAACACAACATTTCTACATGACACGACATTTCTACATGAACACAACATTTCTACATGACACGACATTTCTACATGAACACAACATTTCTACACGACACGACATTTCTACATGACGCGACATTTCTACATGACACGACATTTCTACACGACACGACATTTCTACATGACACGACATTTCTACATGACGCGACATTTCTACATGACGCGACATTTCTACAACCCGATCAACAACTGAATGGTGTTGTTAAAGTTGAACCACACTAAACACTAAACTGTTCACATTACGGTTTTAGAAATTGCTAAAAAAAACTTTTTGGGGAAAAAAGTTTAAATGTTAACATTTTAAAATGGTATGGCGGCACAGGTAGGTCATAGACGTTTCGCTTAACGGTCGAGAGAGGTCGCTCTGTTAAACAGTCGGATTTCAACGGTATAAGGTCATAAATTGGTCAGAGCAAGGACAATCTGGTGTACAGTCTGGTGGTACTGACAAACTGACCTTGGCTGACGATGTACTCCTTCAGGCCGCTGTAACCCTGGAACAGAGAAAATAAAAGGTGTGGGTTCAAACCTGATGCTGTAAACATTCTAAAAAGTTGTGGATAAACTTTAGGAGTAAATTGAGAATATTTTTTTTATTAAGTTGTTCGAATCTGAAGCAGTGAGACAGCGCTGATTAAAAATAGGGTAAACATGCAAGACTGGTGAACACATCACGTGAGTTTAGCTCACACACAAACACACTCATACACACACACACATATGCACACACACATATACACACACAGACACACACACATACACACACACATACACACACACACAACACGTGTAACTCACGTCCACAAAACTGGCGTTGTAGTAGTCTGTGCCCACGTCATCAGGACTGTCCCACACGATGACGCGACTGTGGTCATCTGAAACAAGTCAAATTGTAATGTGGTCATCTGAAACAAGTCAAATTTTAATGCAGTATTTATTTAGTGTTTGTGATTGTACAAGAGCGGCATTTTAAGGTTTCCTAACATCTCGTGTGAACATCAACATTATAAACTTTTACATCGTGGGCTGTTTAGCCAACCCTCTCTGGTTTGTATTTTCTTTCACTGATCTATCTGACAAGTTTCATCCCCGTCTGAACCTAATCAGGGATACGACAGCAAATTGCGAACCCGAATCCTGACCCAAACTAAAACAGTGGACACATCAACGCACCACGTCACCTCACCACCTCACCTCACCACCTCACCACACGACGTCACCATACCACCTCAACACATCAACTCACGTGTACAGTGATGAGTGAGTAACCAAAACACGATTTGCCTATCAACCCGCATTACCCCCCCCCCCCCCTTCCCATGTTATCCTAATGCAGGTATTTAAGCCCAAACAATTCTACCGTGGTTTAATTATGCATATAGAGAATAGGAAAATATATCAAACAGCTTGGCCGTGAACGTAATCAAACATGGATAGGGGATGAGTGTTGTGCCAATAAATACAGGGAATAAAGCAATTGTCATACACTATAGGATAAGGCAAGATTTACAGTTGTCCTATACTATAGGATAAGGCAAGATTTACAGTTGTCCTATACTATAGGATAAGACAAGATTTACAGTTGTCCTATACTATAGTATAAGACAAGATTTACAGTTGTCCTATACTTAAGGATAAGACAAGATTTACAGTTTTCCTATACTTAAGGATAAAGCAAGATTTACAGTTGTCCTATACTTAAGGATAAGGCAAGATTTACAGTTGTCCTATACTTAAGGATAAGGCAAGATTTACAGTTGTCCTATACTTAAGGATAAGACAAGATTTACAGTTGTCCTATACTTAAGGATAAGGCAAGATTTACAGTTGTCCTATACTTAAGGATAAGGCAAGATTTACAGTTGTCCTATACTTAAGGATAAGGCAAGATTTATAATTGTCCTATACTATAGGATAAGACAAGATTTACAGTTGTCCTATACTTAAGGATAAGGCAAGATTTACAGTTGTCCTATACTTAAGGATAAGGCAAGATTTACAGTTGTCCTATACTTAAGGATAAGGCAAGATTTACAGTTGTCCTATACTATAGGATAAGGCAAGATTTACAGTTGTCCTATACTAAAGGACAAGACAAGATCAACGCTGAAGTTCTCCTGTACTATACCAGGCGCGGTACACATGCGCAGTAGAGCAACAAACAGACGAACAGAGTGATTCAGGATTGACAGCATTATGTAGCAGGTGTTTGATTAATTTCTAGAATGTAAATCCTTGTTTTTTATTCATACCTACGCGAATCCGTCTTGCAAATAAATTGTTAATAATTAAACTGTTTTATAGCCATCTTCTACCCCCCCCCCCCCACCCAACCCCTACCCCCCGCCCGAGGACGGAAGCAACGTGATGGTCCCTGCTATGAGTGTGTCCTCATCGGTGACTTTACAGAGGCTTAGCTGGCAATATGGAGCTAGTGACGCGGAAAAATCTGGCACTTCTAGGGGAACACTTGTATCTAATGAGAGAATAGTTTTGGGGACCACTTGTATCTGATGAGAGAATAGTTTTGGGGACCACTTGTATCTGATGAGAGAATAGTTTTGGGGACCACTTGTATCTGATGAGAGAATAGTTTTGGGGACCACTTGTATCTGATGAGAGAATAGTTTTGGGGACCACTTGTATCTGATGAGAGAATAGTTTTGGGGACCACTTGTATCTGATGAGAGAATAGTTTTGGGGACCACTTGTATCTGATGAGAGAATAGTTTTGGGGACCACTTGTATCTGATGAGAGAATAGTTTTGGGGACCACTTGTATCTGATGAGAGAATAGTTTTGGGGACCACTTGTATCTGATGAGAGAATAGTTTTGGGGACCACTTGTATCTGATGAGAGAATAGTTTTGGGGATCACTTGTATCTGATGAGAGAATAGTTTTGGGAGATTGGTCTGGAAAAACTGTATTAAACTACGATCAGTCGTTTTCTGCAGGTATGGTACCAGAGGCTAGTGGTCAAGTAGTAGCAGAGGCTGGTGGTCAAGTAGATTTATGTGGTCAGTCCTGCAGGTATGGTGCCAGAGTCTGGTGGTCAAGTAGTACCAGAGGCTAGTGGTCAAGTAGATTTATGTGGTCAGTCCTGCAGGTATGGTACCAGAGTCTGGTGGTCAAGTAGTACCAGAGGCTAGTGGTCAAGTAGTACCAGAGTCTGGTGGTCAAGTAGATTTATGTGGTCAGTCCTGCAGCTATAGTACCAGAGGCTAGTGGTCAAGTATACTTATGTGGTCCGTGTTCCAGATTTCTGGAATCTTCTAAACATGTGTATTTCCCAGTGGGACTTTCTGAAATGTGATATTTAAAATTAAAACTGCGCAGACTTTAACGCGAGCGATCTTCCTTATGTTTTGGGCGCTAAACTTAGAAATACGTTTTAAAACAAAACCCTTAACATTACCCAGCATTAGAACGCGAAGTGGACGAAAAAATGCACACAAGATGAATGGAATAACGTTTCATTAAATTAAAAAAAAAAAAGATAAATTATTGATTTTGTTGTAAAATATAAAAAAATAAATTTAGGGTTTCACATTGGAGATAAAAACCAAAAAAAAAAAAAACCAAAAAAAAAAAAAACCACAGCAAAGATTGATGGAGAAAGAAAGTAAAGAAAGAAAAAACAGGAAGAATTTTCGACAAGAAGAGAGGATCAAACAGCAAAATTTGAACATGAAATTGAATATGTTTTTACAATAAAAACAGCATAACACGTGCAAAGAAAAACAAAACGAAATTCGGCTCTAAATATAGAAATGGAAATACCCGGACAGATGTTTGAGGGAAGTTTTCTCCAAGGCCGCTGGGTTCTGTGCCGTTTGCTGAGGGGGATGGGGGAGGGCGATGACTACGGCTGATAGCTTTTACTAAATAATGCATGACTCTTTACATTAGGCGCCTGGTCATGTGGCTGAAAGATGGGGGGGGGGGAGGGGGGTTCCGGTCTATTCCTTCTAGTCCTTTCCCTGGTAGTTCCCCCCCCCCCCCCCCCCATCCAACGCCACCAAATGTCCAAACTGAGTTGTATTTGATTTGATAACACGTCAAACGGAGTCCATATATGGGGCCAATTCTGGAACTATGACATCCCAAATAATCCCACACATTTTGTCATACATTCGAACAGAAGCATCCTCTATTGCCCCACACATTTTGTCATACATTCAAGCAGAAGCATCCTCTATTACCCCACACATTTTGTCATACATTCGAACAGAAGCATCCTCTATTACCCCACACATTTTGTCATACATTCGAACAGAAGCATCCTCTATTACCCCACACATTTAGTCATACATTCGAACAGAAGCATCCTCTATTACCCCACACATTTTGTCATACATTCGAACAGAAGCATCCTCTATTACCCCACACATTTTGTCATACATTCGAACAGAAGCATCCTCTATTACCCCACACATTTTGTCATACATTCATACATTCGAACAGAAGCATCCTCTATTACCCCACACATTTTGTCATACATTCGAACAGAAGCATCCTCTATTACCCCACGCATTTTGTCATACATTCGAACAGAAGCATCCTCTATTACCCCACACATTTTGTCATACATTCGAATAGAAGCATCCTCTATTACCCCACACATTTTGTCACACATTCCAACAGAAGCATCCTCTATTACCCCACACATTTTGTCATACATTCGCACAGAAGCATCCTCTATTACCCCACACATTTTGTCATACATATCACTGCTTTAACCCAAACTTGCCACATTGATAGACCAGTCATAAAACTAATCAGACCATTAAAATCTTTCCTAATTAACTTGCACACAATTTCCCCTAAACACGGAACCAAATGAGCGTCAAACAATACCGCTTTCCTGATTTGAAAAAAAAACTTATGAATTCAATGTTTTGATTTGAATGTAAGTTATCAAAGTTATAAAGGGTTTTGTTTTGAAAAGTCCCCTAAGTACCTAACCCTAACTATGCCACCGCATCCACAAAATATGCAACAACAGCTGCTGTGAAAAAATGGCATCTTTGAATTTTAAAATTAAACTACACGACACTAAAAGCAAAAATTGAATCAAGTTTGAAATTTCAAACGGAATTTATAAAATTATGTAACAGCGAGGATGTTCTGATTTTAGGATGGATGTTCCAGCTTTAAAGATGTTCTCTAGCATGATGTAACAGATGTTAAGATGTTCTCTGGAATCCTAGAGGCCCAGCGTCGTCTGACACAAGACAAATGTCCACCTGACTGTCTGACGTTTAAGTAAGACAACTCGGGGTCATCTCCCCTGGTATTCGAGAGTTACCGTTCATGCGGCGTCGGAGAAGTTGTCGTTCTTGGAATATTGAGGGAGGGGGGGGGGGGGGGTAGACATCGATTAGAAGAGAGGGGGAGGGGTCGGAACAATTCACTTGTAGATCCGTAAAGTAGCAGAAAACAGCGGACGTTTTTTTTTTTAGCTGAGATCCGTAGGGAGGCTCTGGCTTATTTAACGGTGGCAAGCTTGGGGTGAGGGGGGTGGTAGGCTGAGGGGGTGGGGGTGGTAGTAAACTGAGGGGGTGGGGTGGTAGGCTGAGGAGTAAAGTAAAGTTTCCCTTTCAAACCTGACGGTCTATGGGGCAAGTGAAGTAGAGTTCACATGTTTCTGTGACCTCGGCATATGAAGCCTGCGGGGGGTGGGGCGATAAGCTGAGGGGGTGTGGACGGTGGTAAGCTGAAGAGGTGGAGATGGCGTAGAAGGGCGATGTCAAGCTTAGGGGGTGGGTATTTCACATCCGCTAATGCTCAGGGGGGTGGATGTGTGAGGGGTGTAGCTGTAATCGGGGATAGTTTTATTGTTTACAATGGCTGTGTCTGCTTTCTAGGACAGT